CCCCCCCCCAAACTCTGCCAGAAATGAGTCTTTGGGATCCTGCAAGGCCTCCTGCTCCAAGACTCATTTCTGGTGGAGTTTGGGGGAGAGAAAGAAAGACTTCTGCTGCTTTCCTTGCATGAAGCCAAAAGTCTCTCTCTCTCCCTCCCTCTCCCCACCCCCGAACGCAGTTGGAGACAGTATCCTGCAATCCCAAATAAGGAATGATCAATTGGTAGGAAAACGGGGAGGGGAATTTTCCTGCAGCCTTTTGGGGGGGGATCATTGGTCTGCAGGATTTAAAATAATGAGTTTGGTGGTCCCTGAGGTCCAAAAGGTTGGCGTCCTCTGCTCTAGGCAAAGCTCCTTCTGTATCCAGGGCAACAGAGAGACATTTGAGACATGTCCAAAGGCCCAGAGATTTTCTCCTGAGCTTACCACAGTGGCTCTCGTCACTACTGTCTCCACAATCATCCTCCAGATCGCACTTATAGGACAGAGGGACGCAGGTCCCGGATTCATGGCAACGGAATTGGGTGTCAGGATCACACACAGTTGTTGCTGTTGTAACACAAAGAAAAAAAAGAGACCTTCTAACATCATCAATATCTCATTGGGAGACAATCAACAGCACCGTCAACATTAAAGCCGTCCCATCAGGACTCATTTCAGAGCCACCAGGTCCCTTAGGCAGGTTCGGTAGGACCAGCATGCGGTCTAATAATGGAGGAAAGGGTTGAAGGACAAAATGCGAAGCTCCACCTTTGAAGGAGCTTCAGGGCCTCACTTCATTACAGGGCTGGAAGGGACCTTGGAGGTATTCTAGTCCAACTCTCTCTTGCTCAAGGCAAGAGTCCTTTTATCATCCTGGACATATAACTGTCCAATCTCCAATCTTTTCCTGAAAACCTCCAGCAATGGAGCACCTACAACTCTGGGAGGAAATCTATTCCATTAATTGTTCTCCCTATCAGGAAATTCCTCCTTATTCCACCCTAATCAAAGGGAACCTTAGCTCTTTCTTCACTGTTGATGTGATGTTTGTCAAGATTTATCTAAGATCCTTTGAAGACGGGCTTCTTTTGATCAACCACTGAAGCAAATTCTCCCTTGCCCGACCCCTCTAAGTATCTGTGTGACTTACGGCAGTTCTTTTCATCGCTCATGTCCCCGCAATCGTTGTCATTGTCACATTTCCAAATGTTATTAATGCAATTCCCGTTTGAGCATCTGTACTGGTTGGAGAGGCAGGTGTTTTCTGGTGGGATTGGAGAGAGGCAGAGGAGGAAAGCAGCACAAATAATCAACTCAACAACCATTAAAAAAAAAAAGACAACCTGGATTTAATGAACCCAACATCTAGTCAACCATCCTAGCTCCCAACGAGAAAGCTTCCAGAAAAACAGCCTTTGTGTGATAACCCAAAGGGGCATGGCACAAAGGCAGCACAGTCAGATAATCAGTAGGAGTCCCTTTATTAACTCCAACTTTGTCCCCAATGTCCTGGTTACCTTCTGGCTGGAGAAAAACTCTCCCAGAAACAGCCTTTGGCTGCAGAGAATCAAGTCCAAAATGTTGTCAACAAAAACTGTAACTATAAGTCCAATCAAGGCAAAATGAGGTAATTAGTCCGGCAGGGTAAGAGAAGGAATTCCAGACATGAAGGAATGGTAGCAAATCAACCCGGTTGGGAGGATGCCAGGAATGCAGATAACCAAAGTCAACACAAGATAAATTCACGTTTGTTCCCAACAGATGTTGCACTCAGCATGCATTTCTTTTAAACTCTCTCCCCAGGTGATAAGATAAATTCACATTTGCTCCCAACAACTTGCTGTGTGCAGCTTCCTCTTTTATACACTGTGTTCCCAGCTGCAGCTAATGAAGGGAATCAGGGCCCTTTCCTCCCCCGTAAGCCACGCAATTCACATTGCTCCCTTCTCCGTTCCTCCCTGCATGTCCTAGGATGAAGAGGGGGTGGCCTGGGTCTTCCTCTGAACTCCCTCTCCCTTGTCCTCCCTCTCCCCTGCTCTGCCCAGCCAGACTTTGCCCTTCCCCAGTTTCCTCCACAGCCAATGGAGCCACACTCCCACTCCCTGTCAGCTGTTCGTCTTCCTCCTCCGATTCAGACTCTGACAGGGGCATGACACTTCGTGTTGAAGAAGCTTCATAGCAGTTCCCAAAGACAATGTGTTCAGCAGTTCCCAAAGATGAACAATGTTTCTCAACCTCAGGCATTTTAAGATGGGTGGACTGCCACTCCCAGAATGCTCCAGCCAGCTAAAATTGAGAGCTGCTATAAAGCATCTTCACCACAAAGGCTATTTTTCTGGAAGCTTTCTTGCTGGGAACTGGGATGGTTGACTAGAGCAATTTTTCTCAACCTCGGGCATTTTAAGATGGGTGGACTGCAACTCCCAAAATTCTCCAGCCAGGTTGGAGATTGGCCAGGTTGAAAAATTACAGGCCCAACATTTGTGGATTCTGCCACTTTTCTCTCCCCAAATATTTCTGCCAAGAACAACGGTATTTCAGTCTCTATCTAGGACCAAACAGCCCCATTTCATTCCATAACTAACCCAATTCACGTTTTGGTCCAGGAACAAACCATCAAGAATCAACATGAATGGTTGTACATCAGGGGTGTCAAACTCATGTCATCATGTGGTGTATCATGACTTTTTTTTCCTCTTCACTAAACCAGGGGTGAGCGTGGCCAGCGCATGTCGCATCCGGCCCATAGGCCGCAAGTTTGACACCTCTGTTATACATCAACAATTTTGCACTTCTCTGGAAGACCCTAAAGTACATTAAGGCTGTGCAACCATCCAGAAATTCTTTGGAAAGGGTTATTTGGCCCAGGCAGAAACACAAGGCTACTCTTTAAAGCAGCTGCATCACTTCCCGGGATCCTGAACTGCCTCGTGATTCTACAGAAAAGATATAGATGCTTTACAGCAAGGGTCTTCAAACTTGGCAACTTTAAGACTTGTGGACTTCAACTCCCAGAATTCCTGAGCTAACATGACTGGAGGAGGAATTCTGGGAGTTGAAGTCCACAAGTCTTAAAATTGTCAAGTCTGAAGACCCCTGCTTTAAAAGGTTACATTTACATTCCTACACACTGAAGCATTTTTCTGGCATCCGTATAATTCAGGTAATACATGGTGGATTGTTTTAAATGTTGTAAGCCACCTGGGGTCATCTATGTGCGAATTGGGTGGCTACATAAATTTGTGTAGTAAATAAATATAAAAGAATGCAATTTGAGATGTTATCTAACACTCTAGCAACCAGGTATATCTTTTACCTTCTTTTACGCAGGTGCCATTCTTCAAGTGATAGTTGGGTGGGCAATCGCATTGCATCTCCCCTGTTGGGAGCACATGGCTGGAGACTCCATCGGGGCATCGACAAGTATAGTTATTGTTAGCCCTGGGCAAACACAGGAGGTTGCATGGCTTGTCTGCACATGCATTCTTCCCTGTCCAGAGGAAAGAAGAAGGAAGAAAGTACTTTGTGAAGCAGAAATGTACATCATGAAACTTCAGGAGAAGATGTTGCCTTCCAGATGTCCCAAAGATGTTTTTCCAAAAGACAACTGGGTTTTCTTGGGTTTTTTAAATTTGAAAACGCTCCGCTTCTCATCCAAGGAGCTTCTCGGATGAGTATTGAAAAGTTTTCAATGAAAAAAATCCAGAAAGTCCATGTCATGCGTCTGAATCCGAGGAGGAAGATGAATAGCTGACAGGGGGTGGGAGTGTGGCTCCGTTGGCTGTGGAGGAGGCTGGGGAAGGGCAAAGTCTGGCTTGGCAGAGCAGGGGAGGGATAGAACAAGGGAAAGGGAATTCAGAGGAAGACCCAGGTCCACCCGCTCTTCATCCTAGGGCATGCAGGGAGGAATGAAGAAGGGAGCAATGTGGGTTGCCTGGCTTACGGGGAGGAAAGGGCCCTGATTCCTTTCATTAGTGGACCAATAAATACCTGTAGTCTTTCCATGGTAGAAGATTTTCATGTCCATCACACTATTGAGATGGTCAACCAAGGTCTCCATTCTGGCTCCATTGTGCTTGGAGGCTCTAAAAATGCTCAGCTGAGACCAATCATTCCAATAGATATCATTCTGGGGAAAAACAAAGCAAACCTTTTCATTTTTAAACGTCCACTGGAGAGGTAGACATGAAAGACATAACCATACAAGCAAGTCCCAAACCATGCTAATTGTGCAAATACTTTGCAACATTTAGCCTCTACCACATGCATATTACACACATGAAAGTTGACTTCACGTGCAACACTAAGCCAAGGACCATACCTTATAAAGCATAACATAAATAATTATGGTAGGGCACACAACAACCCTTCTTTGATTTGTACAAGCAAGCAAAAACCCAGGATGGCTAGCTGTGCTCTGCATCACATTCATACCGGTTCCGAGAACTAATAACAAGCTGCCTGGATATTATGGGTATTGAAGTCTAATATGTTTGGTCAAATTTGTCTGAGCTGGGAAGCTAAGCAGGGTAAGGTTGGTTAGGACTTGGATGAAAAAAATATTAGAAATCCAAGGACTGTAGATTAAATTAGGAAATTTTAAAAAATCATAGAAAGAGGACCAAGATTTTCATCCTACTGGATTTGTCCATAAAGCCCCTGGGAGTTAAACACAGTTCTTTTTAACACCTAGAGGGTTCTAGATTGATTGGGTCTATTCTATTATAGATTGTGCCCGCTCTATCATAGAGGGTTTTAGATTGATGGTGGCCTCTCTATCATAGAAGGTTCTAGATCGATAATGCCCATGCCATCATAGAGGGTTCTAGATTGATAACACCTCCTCTATCACAGAGGGTTCTAGATTTATAATGCCCACTCTATCATAGAGGGTTCTAGATGGATGATTCCTGCTCTATCAAAGAGGGTTCCAGATGGATGATGCCCAATCCATCATAGAGGGTTCTAGATTGACAATATCTGCTCTATCGTAGAGGATTCTAGATGGATGGTGCCTGCTTTACATAGAGGAATCTAGCTTAATAATGCCTACTCTATCATAGATGTTCCATCCAGAAGAGTACCTTAAACACAGCAATGGCATAGGGATGAGGAAGACTATCCAAGATCACTGATCTCTGCATGCCGTTGAAGTCAACCCGCTCGATCCTGTCCATGTAGGCCTCCGTCCAGTAGATCCAACGATCATCTGCCGAAATTCCATTTGGCCACTTGACGCCCTCGGAGACAATGCAAGTAGCAGAGGAGCCATCCATTTCACTTCGATAAATACCAGGCCGGGAATCCCCCCAATCTGTCCAGAACATCAGTCTGGGAATAGAAGTCATAACCAACAAGAGGTAAAGAAAAACATGAAGCCTGAGTCAAGGATTGAATGTCATTCTCTTGATTAGTTCATGGAATGTTTCAACCCAGAGCAGGGGTGGGATTCAAAAATCCCAGCAACCAGTTCACTGCCCAGTTGCTGGGCGGGCGTGGCCATGGTTGGCGTGGCCTACTGGAACTTCTGGGAGGGCTGTTTTTTGCCTTCCCAAGAGTCCAGAGGCTTCCCTCAGGCCTCTGGGAGAGTGAAAATGGCCTCCCCCGGGCTCTGGAGGCCTTCCAGAAACAGGAAACAGGCCTGTTTCTGGACTTCTAGAAGGCCCATTTTCCCCCTCCTAGAGCCTCTGCACAGACCCTGCATTTACCTGCATCAAAAATGGGCCGCATGGAGATTCCTGGGGGGGCAGGGCAGGGCGGGCCAGCCGGTCAGTTCAAATACCGGTTCAGCGAACCAGATGCAAATTTTACATCCAGTTCACGCAAACCAGTCCAAACCGGTAGAATCCCACCCCTGACCCAGAGGCATCTCAAGGTGTGAGATTCAGCTTTCTGGATGGTTGCTTTGGGGTCCAGGTTGCAAGTCCTTTGACTCCAGAGAGAACACAAACAAAATCAAGCGATAGGAGATTTCCCACTTACCCTTCTTTGGGCACCAGAGTTAGGGCTCGGGGACGCTCAAGCACTGAGGCATTTAAAATGGTAAGACGCAAGTCCCCATCTGGGTTGGCGACCTGCGTGAAGACCACAAATGGGAGAACAATGATTCCACCAGGCTACTCTTGCTACTGAACTAGCAGGAAGCACTTGAGTGATAGGCCTCCTTCTGGAGATGTTGGGCTTCTGTCCTACAAGCAGAAGGCGGCGTACCTCGATTTTGGGGATGCCAGCGTTCACCCAGTAAAGCAGTTGACTGATGGGCTCAAAGACCAATGCTTCGACGGTCTCCAGGCCGGTGCCGATGATAACTTCCTGCCCAGAACTTCCGTTGAGACAGAGACGCTGAAAATAATGGATCAAAGCCATTAGGGAAGCTAAGGAGAGCAGTACGAGAAGAAATGATGGAGAACATTCACTGGCATGGTAGCCTTAAGACTGCATCGCATAGAACAGGTGTTGGCTGGGGAATTCTGGAAGCTGAAGCCCATAAATCCACAAGTCTTAAAGTTGCTAAGTTTGGACACACCTGGCCTAGAACTTCCAGCCATTACTGGTGGTCATCTTATAAGAGGGAGCACCTAGGTTAATGGTGGCTAACCTTTTGGGGCTCCTGTGCCAAAAATTGTGCATGTGTTTGCAGGCGCTCATGCTCAAGTGCCAGCACCCAGAAGGGAATGTGCGCTCTATCCCTCCCCCACCGTCCCCTTACCTGCACTGCACCTCCCAGCTGATTTTTAGTCAGTTTGAGGCCTTTTTAGGCCTCCCAGAGGCTTGAGGAAAGCTTCTGCAGCCTTTGCAGGCCAAAAAATAGGCCTGTTTTGTCACTTCTGGTATTTCCGGAAATACAGGAAGTGATGAAATGGGCCTACTTTTCAGCCTGCAAAGGCTGCAGAAGCTTTCCTCAAGCCTCTGGGAGCCCGAAAAAGGCCTCAAATCGGCCAAAAATCAGCGCATGTGCAGTGAGGTAAGTTTCCCTGCGGCTCGCATGTCAGCACAAATGGCTCTTCGTGCCACTTGTGGCACGTGTGCCATAGGTATGCCATCACAGACCTTCCTTCTGGGTCAACTTCAACAAGTAACAAACACTCACATTATACTTTATATCCCACTTTTTCTCTACCACCCCATTCAAAGAGGATACACAAGATCTTTGGAGGAAGTATCTAAATGGGAGGAAGAGATGCTGGCAAAGCTGAGACCTGATGGGTTTATTTCAGCTGGAGAAACAAGCTAAAGCAATGCATTCCCAAGATTTCCCCAAAACGTTGTTTTTTTCCTCTCACTGGAACCTGAGTAAGTGACTTTGAGCTGCTTCCCAAACCCAACGGGACTCAAACCCCATCAACATTGAAGCCATGTCCTGAAAACAGAAGGCTTAATTTCCTGCTCCATCAATCTTCTTTTCTTTCTGTCATTTGATCAGCCCCAAGTTGCCACAACTAACCATGATCTCCACTCTCTTAAAAAGGCAGGTGTACCAATTTTCCCCTTGGCACAGAATTTCCTTGCTTCAGGAAAAAAAATAATCAAAAATCTGGAACCAAACAGCCCTTTAGAGTCACAGCCTTCCTCGGTTACACCGCAACAAGCCACAAAAAGGCCTCGAGAATTTTGTTCCGACCTCAGAAAGACGTGTCCTGTCTTGTTTCGAACTTAAAAGGTTCAAAATAGAAATAAAATAAAAAAAACCAAAATAGACTGTTCCAGAGGTGGTATTCAACCGGTTCTAGATGACCTATAAGGTCTCTTCGATTATCTGTTATCTGGCTCGCATCAACGGAGAGCACAAAGAAGTCACTAACCTGGATAATTTCAAGAGTCACGTCAGCCCAGTAGAGGCAGTTGTGAGTGTAATCGAAGTCCAGGGCCACCGCCCCACGCAGCCCCGTCAAAGGCAAATCTTCAGTCAGTCCAGATGAGAGATCGTACCGATGGATGGAATACCTTGTTGAATACAAGATGAACTCATTTTCCTCTGCAAAGAAATCAGCCAAGGAATGAAGTAGGGAGTTTACATTTGGCAAGGAGCTAAGCTCAAACATCGGCAAGGGATGACTGTAAGCACTCTGGTTCTATAGCCTCTTTCCTAGCTGATGTCAAGACTGAAATGTCTTGATTTTCCTCCAAAGAAGGCTCAGATTTAAGCAAAATCCAATGAACTTTTAAAAAAAATGTATGCCATATTGCAAAGTCCCCGTTTTTCACTGCCAACTATGTATTTTTATTTAGACAAATGGTTATCGAATCTCTTCTTAAAAACTTCCATTGTTGGAGCATTTACAACAAGTTGTTCCACTGATTAATTGTTCTAACACTCCAGGCATTTTTTCTTAGTTCTAGGTTGCTTCTCTCCTTGATTAGTTTCCACCCGTTGCTTTTTGTCCTGCCTTCAGGTGCTTTGGAGAATAGCTTGACTCCCTCTTCTTTGGGGCAACCTCTGAGATACTTGAAGACTGCTATCATATCACCCCCTAGTCCTTCTTTTCACCAAACTAGACATACCCAATTCCAGCAATGGTTCTTTATATGTTTTAGCCTCCAGTCCCTTAATCATCTTAGTTGCTCTTCTCTGCACTCTCATTAGAATCTCAACATCTTTTTTACATTGTGGTGAATTTAAAGAAAAGATGGAAACTTCCCATCCTTCCCAGTGCTGGCCAATTTTAAGTCCCTTTTATTTCAAATAATTTTATTTTTTAAAATATTGCCTGAACAATGCTGTAGTAGAATAGAATAGAATAAAGAATAGAATAGAATAAAGAATAGAATAGAATTCTTTATTGGCCAAGTGTGACTGGACACCCAAGGAATTTGTCTTGGTGCAAATGCTATCAGTGTACATAAAAGAAAAGAGACATTCGTCAAGAGTCAAGAATCATAAGGTACAACACTTAATAATAGTCATAGGGTACAATAAGCAATCAAATCATACTAGGAATGGAAATAGGAAGTAGATATTTTCCAATCGTTTCATCAAAGCTACTGTCTTACCAAGCAGCAAAACCTGGTCCATTTGGGCTGCTCTCAAAAGAATTAAGCGTGCGTTCATTAGTTACCAGGAGTCAAGATTAACACAAGGCAGACTTTATCTTCCTGATCTGCAAACCTCACAACTTTGACCGTACCGTTTTTGCAACAACTTCCTCTACCCCTCCTTGGCTTACCTGCTAATGGACAGGGAACGGTTTCCCCTTCTAACCGGGCCTCTACGTCACCTCCAGAACACGTGTCGCCGGATATCTTGCGGTAACTAACATCAATAAAAAAAGAGTGTTTTGTCAGAGACACACACAGTTGTAACCCAAGTGCCCCTATCAAGTTAACAGCACTGGGAACATGCTACTTTAACCTATGCAGATGACAAATTATTTTCTGCAAGTGTTTGGATTTTGGAGGGCAATGCTTTTGAAACACTACCAAAAAAAATTGCAGGTAATATATTAATTGATTGCATTGGAGTGGTGCGGTGACTTAGAGGTGGAACTCTTGCCTCACAATCAGGAGGCTGTGAGTTTGATCCTGGGTAGAGGCAGATATTTCTCTCTCTGGACACACTGAATAACAGATAATTGCAAATTTAATAGCTGCTTTTCTGAGAAGTTTAAGTAAAGCCTAAAATCCTCCTACTCCCCCAACCTTATCCTTTCCTCTACAGAAGCTCTTTTAATCAGCTATCTAGATTGTTGGATGTTCTATATACTGTTTCGACTTCAATTCTCATCTTGGTTTTGACTGCACTATCAGGAAACGGTTTATTGTTTTATAGTGTTTTTTAATTCTTTTACGATGTTTAATTTATTTAATTGTCTGTGATGCACAGGATTTCCTACTCCTCAGATAAAACTATGCAAACAGTTTGTAACATCCAGTTCTCTTCATCTCAGTCAATCGTTCCTCTTTTAGGACACAACCGTATATTTAAAATTCTATTTCCGCCTCCCTCCAAAAAGCTTTGCAAACGAGCTTGATAAATCTTGTAGTCGGTAAATTTCGCGACCTACCCTCGTGTTTTTTTGTAGGTTGATCCAACAGGGCACAACACAGGAGGCGAGAAAAGTTTGCCAGCAAACTCAGGATCCGGAATGCAAACTTCTAATGACAGGTCCTCACTTAGCTTGAAACCAAAATCGCTAAATGGGGGAAGTTTAAAGAAAAAGAGCAAAGCAAAATATAATATTTCTTCCAGTTGTTGTTCTTGTTGTGGAGAATTTGGTTTCAAATCTTAGAAAATCAAGAATTCAGGAATTGCAACCGGTTAAATTGGATTATCATACAGAGAACTTCCAAGGTAGAGTTTCTCAACTTTTGGCAATTTTAAGACGCATGGACTTCAACTCCCAGAATTCCTCAGCCAGCATCTCCAGCCAGCCAAGTCAGGCTGTAGACAAGGCAGAGTGATAGACAAAAGTTCATTAAGATTCATTAAGATTGCCATCTTGGTAATCATTATCATCTTGACCTAGCAGTGTTTGTCAATGTCAGCAATTTGTAGGTGTATGGACTTGACTCCCAGGATGCTGCTGGCTGCGGAATTCTGGGATTTGAATTCTACACCTCTTAAAGTTGGAGAGGTTGAGAATCATTGACCTAGGCACATAAGGAATTCATTTTCCTCATATTCCTGTGGCCTCACAAAGTTTTCCCTTGATTTCACCCTCTACGTAGTCCGGGAATTATGGTGTCAAGTTCCAAGCCCGCTTATGCTGTTGCAACTATTATCGCTTCTCAGCTTGCCAAAGAACCAGGGGTGGAGGGAAGGATGAGATGGAATGTAGGCTCCATACATTGAGAAGATGATCTGTGAGAGCCAAGGACACTTCATCAGGTATTTGCCGAACCCAAAGACTTTTTCTCATAACAATACAATGACACTTTGGACAATGCAACCTGCACTAATAGGGAGAGGTTGAATTCTATACTTTAATTATGGGGGTTTGTGTCATGCCCCTGTTGGAATCTGATTTGGAGGAGGAGGCCGAGCAGCTGACAGGGAGTGGGAGTGTGGCTCCATTGGCTGTGAAAGAAACTGGGGAAGGGCAAAGTCCAGCTGGGCAGAACAGAGCAGGGGAGAGATAGAGCCAAGAGAGAGGGAATTCAGAGGAAGACCCAGGCCCACCCCCTCTTCATCCTAGGGCACGCAGGGAGGAACGGAGAAGGGAGCAATGTGAGTTGCGTGGCTTAGGGGGGAGGAAAGGGCCCTGATTCCCTGCATTAGCTGCAGCTGGGAACACATGTATAAAAGAGAAAACTGCGCACAAGTTGTTGGGAGCAAATGTGAATTCATCTGGCATCGTCATGGCTTATCTGTGTTCCTGACGTCTTCCCAACTGTGTGAGTTTTGCCATGCTTTCAAGTCTGAAATTCCTTCTCCTACCCTGTCAAGTTAATTACTTCAGCTTGGTTTGTTTGGATTTTTAATTACAGTTTGTATGTACCTTGTTTTGGACTGAATTTTCTACAGTTAAATGCTGTTTCTGGGAGAGTTTTTCTCAAGCCGAAGGTAACCTGGACATTGGGGGCAAAGTTGGAGATAATAAAGGGACTCTTATTTCTTATTTGACTGTGTTGTCTTTGTGCCACCCCCCAGGTCATCAGTTTGTGCGGGAATTAACTAGATCTGGTTTTGCCCTCCGCAGTGCTGAAATGATGTACTCAGTAAAGTTTTGCATTCGTAGATTGAATCATCACTACTGTGCTTGCTTTGGTTGGGTTTGTCAGTTGGAATGTTGACAAATGGTTGAGGTAAATCCACATTTCCAGAGGTGCCCAACAAAAGAAGGTGCCCTCTACCTTGAAAGTCCCCATCCTCCAATATTCATCGCAACTGTCGCTCACCAAAGACCTCGACTTACCACTCGTAGTCTTCCCTGGTGCAGGAACAATTGGAGACCAGGAACGGTCGATCGAAATCCTCCCCGTTGAAACAAGTGGCGTGAGGCGTTCGCCTTTTGAAGACCGTCTTGTGTCCCAAGAGACACTCATTCCCGCGTTCATCGGAGGGAGACCACAGTTTATAATCATTTTCCGTGCAAGGCACCCCTAGGAAATCATCAGGGGGTTAAGTTTTAAGTTGCGGGGTGTGGGCAGGGAGAGGACAACCCTGCCATGCTACAAAGACAAGCTTCGGCCTACAATGAAGGTCAAGAAAAGCCATCGGAGGCCAACTCCTTCCTTCCCTTACCGAGGACGTCCGTGGTGTTGATCTGCAGAATCAGCCAACTGTGTCCGTTTTCTTTGTAAGACCCAAAAATGGTGAAGATGGTGCTTTTCTCGCCCGGTTCTGTCAGCAGGCCATACACAAAGACTGGCTTTTCGGAGAACGTGAAGGTTTTCCAGGTTTCCCCTTCATTCGTGCTATACCTACACGGAAAGAATGGCAAGGAGATGCCTGCCATACCTTGGTTTTGGTCCTTCTCCCTTCCAGCATCTTTTGTTTCAGATAGCCCCCGTTTCTTGCTACTTGCCTTTAAGTTTAGGGTATAGTCTCTTGATGAATGTATCCTTTCTTTTATGTATACTGAGAGCATTTGCAGCAGGACAAATTCCTTTGTGTCCAATCACACTTGGCCAATAAGGAATTCTATCCGTGCTGATTTGGTCTTCTTCCTACACATGCTGGGTTGTTTTTCCCCCCCAAATCCAAGATGCAAACTAAATTTCTCACTGGGATGGAACACAATCTGTTGGAATCTTTGGCTATAAAGATTAGGTGATGATTAGGGAACTGGAGACTAAAACATATGAAGAACAATTGCAGGAACTGGGCCTGGCTGGTCTAGTGAAGAGAAGGACCAGGGGAGACAGGAGAGCAAGGTTCCAATATTTGCGGGGATGCCACAGAAGGGAGGGGATCAAGCTGTTTTCCAAGGCACCCAAAGGCCAGACAAGGAATAATGGATGGAAACTGAACAAGGAGAGATTCAACCTGGAAATAAGGAGGAATTTTCTGACACTGAGAACAATCAACCAATGGAACAGAAGTTGCCTTGGGAAGTTGTGGGAGCTTCATCACTGGAAGCTTTCAAGAAGAGACTGCACTGCCCTCTGTCAGAAACGGTGTGGGGTCTCCTGCTTGGGTGGGGTGGGGGGGGTTGGACTAGATGACCTCCAAGGTCCCTTCCAACTCTGATTATCTGTTTACCTGTTTAACCTGTGTGAAATTATCCCTCTAAGTTTTAAGATTTAGATCATGGCTATCGAGACTCCTTTTCCATTCTCCCAGGTGGTCAAAAGCACCTGGGAAGTTGGAAGGTAAATTTATCCCAGTTTACGGACTCAGCCTACCAGGATAGGCAGACGTATGGGTGCTTTGCTTACTTCAGCTGGTTTGTTTCTGACCCCTGTGTCACGGCCATGAGGATGCCCCCGTGGTCTCCCCAGGAGTAATAATGGGGCCCAGACAGGACCTGAGAGAGGAAGCAAACAAAGTCACTGGACTAAGATGGCCACAGATCAATATCAGGCAGCAAAAGAGAAACATAACCACGTATGCATAGAAAAATTCATTCGGCATTCTGAAAAGTTGATATTCGTGTCCCTGCTTGCTCTAAGAAATACATCCAAGGCTGATCTCATCATTTTCCCCATTGAGGAATCACATTACTGGAACCGCCTCTCCCTGAAAACTTCAGCAAAATTGCCGACGTTCATTTGAAAACACCTTTATGCATTCTCGACAACTTATCTGGGGTTAAATACCAACGATACATCATCCTATAAAAATGTCCTTTTAAGGACCCTTTGATTCCCACAATGGAGGAATGACTGCGGAAGTTTGTGGGTTTTTTTAAGCGTTATTACATATAAAAATTCCATTTCTAAGTAAACAGTGTGTTGTCTGGATATAAATAACTTTGAGAAATAACAATCATAATGTTTACAATAATGTTCATTACATTGGTATTAAATAATAATAATAATAATAATAATAATAATAATAATAATAATAATAATTGCTTATCCGTTTTAGCAAACTTTCCTGATACAATTAAACCTTCTCTTATATTTCCATGTTTCTAACTTCTGTTTTTAATTGGCTAACCATCTATAAAATGAACCCCATGTTAAAAAGTGAAATGGAGCAAAAGGAAAGAGCAGAACGAGAAGGAGCAAGGATAAAAGAACAGAGAGAAATAAGAGCAACTAGAACAACCTATTTATAAGTAAAGCGATGGAAGAAGAAATAAAATTACTGTCAGTGAATATAAATGGACTGAATTACCCTATGAAAAGGAAAAGGACTTTTACTAAATTAGGAAAATTAAAGTTAGATTTAATCTGTCTTCAAGAGGTCCACACTAAACCTAGCTTCGGTTCTTTAGATTCGTTTGGCCAAACTAAGAAAAACAATGTAGCTTCCGCAACCCTTAGTCAATACGGTTCAGATTATGCTGGCTGGGGATGATGGGAGCTGGGAGAGAGGGGTCAAAGCATCAGGAAAGGACAAGGTTAGGAGGCAGATAGTTAACCCAAATCAGTATTTCTTGGAAATTAAACGAAACTAAAGTCTAAACTCCCCACATCGTCATCTCTGGATGAGATGGGGAGCATATAAATCGAATGAATGAATGAATGAATGAATGAATGAATGAATCAATCAATCAATCAATCATAGAAGCTGTTCAGCGAGAGAAGCACAGGGTGGTGCATGGTCAGCTGTGGCGCAATCCTTCCTCCAGTATTGAAATGCCTCTAGAGCCATGATGACGAACCTATGACACACGTGCCGCAAGTGGCATGCAGAGCCATTTGTGCGGCATGCGAGCCCCAGCCAAACTTACCTGCACTGTGCATGCACGCACCTCCCGGCTGATTTTCGGCCCGTTTGAGGCCTTTTTCGCCCTCCCTGGGACTCGAGGGAGGCCAAAAAAGAGGCCTTCCGGAAATACCGGAAGTGCCGAAACTGGAAGTGCTGAAACCAGAAGTGCCGAGACGAGCCCGTTTTTCGGCCTCCAAAGGCTGCAGAGGCTCCCCTCGAGCCCCAGGGAGGGCAAAAAAGGCCTCAAACGGGCCAAAAATCAGCTGGGAGGTGCGCGCATGCACAGTGCAGGTAAGGGGGAGGGGGTTGCGTGCGCATGCGGGCAAGGAGCATTGCATTGTGGGTGCGCGCACATGCTTTCAGCACACCACAACGAAAAGGTTCGCCATCGCTGCTCTAGAGCTGCACGGATGTCCCCCCCCCCCCCCCGCCCCCCCCGCCCCCCCACGAGGGCCTGGCACTTCCTTACCTCCTGCCATCTGACGCCAGCACTGCTGGAAATGTAGACATTCATTTTGCTTGCCATGTTCTTCCCCACAGAACCTACAAAGAGAAGGACGTGAATCTCGGGGCAATTCTTCAGACCTTTCAGTGCCTCAAGACCAGGGGTGTCCAACTCGATTTAATTGAGGGCCACATCAGGGTTGGGTTTGACCTTGGGGGGGAGGGCTTGGCCATGGGGGCATGACCAGTTCGATGTTACTTGTGTCGGGTTGCCTGTGGTGGCCCAAACGCTCTGCCAGCGAAAACAGGCTCCTGAGCTCAGTTTTTGGCTGCGCCAGCCTCCTGTAACCCCCTGCCAGCGAAAACGGAGCTCGGGAGAACCGCGGGCGACCCTCCTAAGCTCCGTTTTCATTGGCAAATGCATCGCGGGCCAGTCCTTCGCTGTTTTTCAGGACGGCCCCGCAGGCTAGATCCAAGCACCCCATGGGTCGGATCTGGACCCCAGTGTCAACTCCTAAAATATTTCTCTGGTCTTTTTAGAGTTGCCAACAGAAAGGGAGGGGGAAGCAGTGCAGCAGCTTGCAAAACCGAAAGTGCATTCCATAAATGTTTTCAAAGATAATAACTAGGTGATTGAAGTTTCTGCTGAGCAAAATTCTAACTGGAGAGCATGATTGATGACTCTTGGCTATGGATGTGTCCCATTGGAGAATATGAATTACGATACACCCAGGGGGTTGGGGGAAAACCAGTGTCAAGGGTGGCAACGAATGATATGTCTCAGAGTTGGCTACACCCAGACAATGCCAGCATGTTAACTCCTAATAAATATTCTTTAAGTTTTGGAAGTTTGGATCAAGACTCATGATTTAAATGGGGGGTAACTGCTGGAATCCTGACACCCAGGCCTTGAGTTTGACATCCCTGCTCAAGATGGTGCCTGTGACTGCAAAACAGAAGCCAAATACAGGGGGTCCTTGACTTACAACAATTCATTCAGTGACTGTTCTGAGTTCCATTGGCCCTGAAAATAAAAAGTGACTTATGGACGTTTTACATACTTAGAACCGTTGTGGCATCTCCATGGTCAGGTGATCCAACTTCATGCGCTAAGCAACCGACTCATACTTATGACGGTTGCAGTATCCTGGGGTCACATGATCAATTTTTGCTACCTTCTGACAAGCAACGTCAGTGGGAGGAGCACAATTCACTTTGCAAACAACCACAGTGATTCCCTGAACAGCTGTGTCGAGGAAGGTCGTAAAAGAGGGCAAAACTCACTTCACAGCTGTCTCACTTAGCAACAAAAATCTTGGGATCAACTGTGGTCATAAGTCGAGGGCTACCTGTATTTTAGGGCAACATTGCTTTTCAATGTTGGTGTGATGATCCAGGGTGGGATACAAAATAAACACAGTCACCGAAAAAAACAGGTGAAGCCCCTTTTATTCCTTCACTTTGCTTCCAAGCTCCAAATATCCTTGACTGTAGACAAAAAAAACTCCCACACAAGCAGTTACAAGAAGGAGGAAATGCCATTTAAATTATAAAGAGCAAAAAACAACAGAAACCAGGCAAGATAAGGGCTTGAGGACATCCACAAATATTAGAACGCACAATGGGAAGGACACCAAACTCAGAGAGGAACAATAAACTAGAGATATTTCCATGCTTTGTTTCCAGCACTCGCCCATATGCATGTCTGTCCTCTTATTCAGTTGTCACAGCTGCAGCCCATGAAGAGGATCAAGGCCCTCTCCTCCCAAGTAGACCACGTCTCTCCCTTATCCTCTCCTCCCTGCATGCCCTAGGATGGAGACGGGATGGACCTGGGTCCTCCTCTGACTGCTCAGCTGGCCTCTGCCCTTCCCCAGCCTCCTCCACAACCTCCAGAGCCACACTTCCACTCCGTCGGCTGTTCTTCCTCTCCCTCAGATTCAGTCTCCACCAGGGGCATGACACTTGGCAACTTTTAAGTTGCACAGACTTTGACTCCCAGAATCCCCCACCAGCGTTGCCAGCCAGCCAAGCCAGGGAGAAAGCAAGATGTAGAAGATTATCATTAATTGGGTTTTAACCATCAACCAACCAGAATTTAAGGAGAGGAGAGTGAGAGGATGGAAAATAATATGATCTACCTGTTGCAATGATCAATCCGGGAGCGGATTCCTTGGATAGGATGGGCATTCGGCGCAACTGGAAGTTGAGCAGCTGGCTGAGCCTTTGGGCCAAGTGAAGAGAACAGCCCAAAGAAAGCTAGTGAAGAGGAAACACACAAAGGTCACTTGCCTTGTCCTACCAAAAGCAAGGTGCATTTAATATTCTGGAATCTCAGTGTTGCAACAAGAACCCTCTTCAAAAATCGCACAACAGTGTCAAAAATCTGCAGCTAATTCTTACACACACGTATGTGTTTATGCACATGTTGTTTCAGTTGCATGCTAAAAAAAAAACCACACCTCTAAGAGGCAGGACAACCATGACCTGGATGACTGAGAAGCTCTACAAATTTTTAGCTACACAATTTGGGACAGACAGCCTTGGAATAGTGTGGAAATAGGAATGGATTTCCAGAGGGAAAAAATTGCAGACTACAGAAACCAGGAGCATCACTCAGGTGACTCCGAGGACACAGATAAACCTCCAAGTGGCCTCAACGACCCTCTAAAAGGATGCAAATGACCAGCTGTCTGCAAGGAGTATAAATCCTTCCATTCCCCACCATCCAGTCAGAGTTGAAGAAGCTTCTTGGATGAGAAGCGAAACGTCTTCAAAAGAAAAAAAACAAGAAAGTCCAGTTGCCTCCTGAAAAAGCTCCTTTGGAACAAGCACAAGTTTAGCGAGAGAAAATCATTTGTTCAAAAACTATGGACACGGATGGGAGAATGTGCACACGATCCAGAACCTCTGCTGTCCACGGCTGCTCACGCACCACCAACGATGACCAACGAAGGAAGATAAGCTCACCATGAGTTGACGTTCCTCCAACTTCACCTACTTTTACAACCTGCGTGAAGCCTAACTGGGACCCTGGAATGCAACGAGCGATCCAAAAGCCTTCAGAGAGGCAGCACCATTTCGTCAATCGTTGGCATCATTACCTCACAATTTATCTTTTCGCCATAGTGAGTATACTCTGGAGGCTGGAGAAATTCCCAAGTCCCACCTTTGTCGAAGGTGATGACTGAGCGCATATTCTCGTCGCTGAACGAGCCGTTGATCAGGGTGGTGATATAGACCCCCGGAATGCCCTCAACGCGGTGGAAGTCTGCAAAAGGCTCGCTTGCAAAGTATCTGCCGAAAAAAAGATACTCACTCACTTACCAGTCCTTCGAGGAAAGCTGAGACAACAAAACCAACACGGCGAGAAACATGGGATTCAACTTTATGGATATACAACACTGTGCAAGAGTCTTAGGCCACCAACCACTTTGTTGTTTTAGCAAAGTTTTAATTTCATCTTATAATGACTCCGTAATCCCTTACATCTGGGTGGAGTCAGGGAAACTGCATGGAGCAGAGTGTTTACTGGCCGGATGCCCCTCCTGTTGCCATTGCGGAGTTCGCAGTAGATAATTATATTCATCATTCCCAGAGAGAGAAATATCTGCCGCTACCTAGGATCGAACTCACGGCCTCCTGATCGTGAGGTGAGAGCTCCACCTCTAGGCCACCGCACCACATTTTAGCAAAGTTTTAATGATCATCCATAATTATTTTTCGGTTTTAGATACCAAATTTTGGATACCACATCTAGGTTGTGTCAACTCATAAAATATTTCTCCAGTCTTTTTAGAGTTGCCAACAGAAAGGGAGGAGGGAGCAGTACAGCAGCTTGCAAAACCAAAACTGCATTCCATAAATGTTTACAAAGATAGTTTCCAGGTGACCGAAGTTTCTGCCATGCAAAATTCTTACTTGGAGAGCATGATTGATGAGTCTTGGCTATGGATGTGTCCCATTGGAGAATATGAATTATGATACACCCAGGAGGTGGGGCAAAAATCAGGGTCAAGGTTGATAATGAATGACGTGTCTCGGAGTCGGCTACACCCAGGCAGTGCTGGCATGTTAGCTCCCAATAAATTCTTTTTAAGTTTTGGAAGCTTGGCTCGAGACTCATGATTTAAATGGGGGTAACTGCTGGAATCCTGACAGGTTGCCTAAGACTTTTGCACTGTACTGTCAGTTGTCATGCAGAATCTTGAACTGTTCCCTCCATTTTATCTTTTCTGCCAGATGAAGGCAAGCGTTACCTATTCATCTCTCTCCAGGAAGTCGTCTACCTTCTTACCTTACTAAGGTGTCGCTGCCTGCTCCACCAGGACTGTAATACAGGATGTTTTCCAAAGTCAACGAAAAATGAAGGCCTTCAGCTTCGGAGATATAGAGGCTGGTGCTGTTGTTACTATAAGTGACGCACACAAACACCTGGTCTTCAGAAGTGTCCGCAATATAATATTCCTTCAAGACAAAATTTTGGAATGGAAAAATGTTTTTGTTTTATATGGGTGATAAAAAGCATCCGAGCAAGCGAAGTGGCTCAGACGTCTGACGTCTAATCTCAAAAACGCCACCAAAATCTCACACCTTTGCCAAGAGTTCACTGTAACTTCTAAATTAGCCTCAGTTTTTCCCAGCTGTGCAATGGGCATAATGCTAATATCTTGTAACCCACTGAAAATAGCCAAAAGATGGGGGTTATTTTCTTTGCAAAGCATTTGTTTTAAAGGATGCCTGCAATCCATGGAAACACGCAAAAAAAAAAATATCTGAAAGCAAGCATGCCAATTATAGAGGTGTGGTTTATGGCTGAATAAAGTGTTCTGATCTAGGCTTTACACAACAAAACCCCTTTTTATTAGGCTATTGTGAATTCCTATCATTCACATCCAGCAAAGTCCCAGCAAAAAATCTTTCAAGGGTGGATTATAACCACAGACCTTATCAGGCTTGGAGAACTGCCAAGCCGATAGCTTCCAAGTAGAACACTATACCAGAAAATACTTGGCAAGGAGTCTCTGAGAGTCACAAACAAATCTTCACACTAATTAAATGAACTAATTGTCTCCTGCAAACACCACTCCCCTTTCGCTCCTCTTTATTCCCTATGGGAGGGGCCATTCACCATCCACCTGTGGCTTTACTCCCAAGTCGACTCCTGTTCCTTAACTGTTCCCTTCTCCTGGCAGCTCTGCACATGCGCACATTGGGAACAAGCTCCAGCTGCTCTTCTTCCCCACCGATCTCCGACTCCGAAGGCAGCTGATAACTGTTGGACGGCCCTGGCCCCATCTTTGCCTCTGATGCAGAGCACCCAACAGAGCCTTCCCCAGACTCCAGGACTGGCCCATGTTCCTTTCCAATCTCCTCGCTGTCCCAGTCTGCCACCAGCTACTCTAGCTGCTAGCAGGCCACAACATAAAAGTTTCTAGCCCCCTCATTTGTTCGTACCTTAATGGGGTGTCTTGTTGCAAACTGTGCAGCCTGCATTGGCTTCCGGTTAAAGGAGACCCAGAGTTGAACCGAAGTTTGTAATGGATCGCCCGACAGAGGCTTAGAAGAGAAAGAGACGGACAGAGAAAAATCAAACATGGCAGCTCTTTTTCATCCTGGGTCTAAAAAGAGGGGGGGGTGTTTGATGAAAGTTTCTGCAAACCAAAAACAAATAAAAAAAACCCAAGGCCCTCCACAAATCTCCACGTTTCACTGAGGTTCTAGGACTCAATTTCCACTTGATGTTTTAAACGAGTTTGTCGCTCGGACTCTGGAAGTGCAGTGCAGTGCAATGAAACAGGAAATCATGACAACTTGACCAAGAGATGTTTTTGCAGGGTTAATGTTGTCAAACTTGTCTGTCTTTAAAAAAAAATGCTGCTTATTTGCTCACCTGTGGTGATCCTAGACCTAAGCTCAGAGGAACAAGGTAGAGTGGACAGAACCAGAATATTTTTACCCAAGTTTTTTTTTTAATGTCCTTTCAAAGACTATAATGGGAGGTTCTCAGCTTACAATCGATCATTTCGTGACCATTCAAAGTTATAACAGCACCGAAGAAAGAGGCTTGGGGTCTGTCATGCCCTTGTTAGAATCTGGTTCTGAGGGGGAGTTTGAGCAGCTGGCAGGGAGTGGGAGTGTGGATCCGGTGGCTGTGGAAAAAATGGGGGAAGGGAACAGTCCAGTTGGGCATTCAGAGGAAGACCCAGGGCCAACCCCTCTTCATCCTAGGACACGCAGGGAGGAACGGAGAAGGGAGCAACATGGCTTGGGAGAGAGAAGAAGGCCCTGATCCCTTTCATTAGTTGCAGCTGGGAGAACAGGATATAAATGGGGCATTTGCACATGGCTCCTTGCTGGAAGGAAAGCGTGCATTATCTTGGTCGAGGCTTACCTGGGTTTTGGCATTATCCTTTGAAAGTCTGCAATTTATCATCTTGGCCTGCCGTGTTAATTACTTCAGCACATTTTGTGTTGTTGTTTTTTATTTCTAATTATCTTAATTTGGGTTCGGACTGCATTTCTGCCCTTCGTAATCTGTTTTTTGAAGAATTTGATATCCAGCCGGGGATAATTGAACATTGGGGCCAAGTTGGAGGCATTAAAGGGAATTTATTCTACTTTGGTGACTTTGTTATTTTTGTGTCATGCCCCGAGTCATCACAGGGTTGGTCCTCAGACTTATGACTGGTCCTCCCACTTATGCCCCTCACCGCATCCCTCACAATCACAGGATCATAATTCAGGCGCTTGGCAATCAGTATGTTTTTAAATGAGGGTTGCAGGATCCCGGGATCATGCAATCATCTTTTGCGAACTTCCTACACATCCTTTCCAACAAGTGAAGCCACTGGGGGAAACTGGCTTCTCTTAATGACTGCATGATTCATTTAATAACTACAGTGACTGTCTGAACCGCCATCACACAAAAAAGGGCATAAAATCAGGCAGGATTCCCTTAACAACGGTCTTAGTGATGCAAATGTTGGGTCAATTGTGGTCATAAAGCAAGGACTACCTGTAGAGGGTCCTTCCAGCATTGTGTCCATCCCCAAAATTACTTCATGCAGGTATACATGCCCTGCAGGGTTTTGAAACTTAACCCCCCCCCCCCAAAAAAAATTTATATGTTTTCCATAGGAGCTTGCCAAAAACTACCGTTCCAAATTCACTGTGGCTCAACGAACTGAATCCATTTGCTACAATGGGATAGTTTAAACACCGGTGGTTTTGGGCTCGCAGCCTAGGCCAATACTTATTCACTTGTTGGTTGGTCTCCAAGCAATTAACAAATGCCACAAGGTTGTAACTATGCTGTGGTTGCGGATTGAAAAGAAGCAATGTGTGTGTGTGTGTGTGAGAGAGAGAGAGCAAGAGAGAAATTTTTTTTTTCTGGAAACATCATCTGTGTGGTATTCACCAAATGAATGCAAAAAAACAACCCTGCCTTTTAGAACATGCGCACTTGGCACAGGCTCCTCGGGAACCTCCTTATCGCTGCTGCCAGCCCCCGCAATCTCTGAAGGCAGCAGCCCACTCCCTAATGGTCCTGGCCCCTCATCTGAGTCCTTGCTCTCCTCAACCGTCCGCACCTGCTGCCGGCTAACCACAACACAGATGGTTGCAAAAGGAGACTGTGTGACCTTGAGCTCTGTTATTGGCTGCAGACGCCTTCAGGAAAACCTTGTTGGCCACAGAAGAAGTTCCTGAACGCCTCTGACAGCAAAAAGGAGACCGGGGGTGATGTGCACAAGTGAGGTTAGTCAGTGAATGACATTCCCTGAAAATAAGACCTGGTGCCTTTTTTGGTGGCAAAAAAATATAAGTCTGGGTCTTATTTTCGGGGAAACATGGCAACAAGTAAGATGAAAGCATTTCTTTTTATGTTGTTTTTAGAGCTTTTCTTTTCTTTTCTTTTTGTAGTCTTGTGATTTTTTGTTTTGTTTTTAAGGGATGAATTTAACAGATTTGAACAGTTTGTAGCCAAGCAAGAGGCCCAGACAGGAATAGGTAACACGTTAAAATTCCTGAACAAATAAACAGAGATTTGCCCCTCAATGGCCTATGTTAAAATGCTTATTTATGTTATTCTCCTGGCCTCAAACTCGTGCTGCGCTGCAGCCAGTCTGCTGCAAACTGTGCCAGACCTCATAAGGATCATTCGTCGATCTAAATTGCAAATACGAACTGAATTTTAAATACGAATTGAAAAGTCCTAGAACAGCCTTTGAGCAAACTCTTGGTTCTTCTACCAGTTGGAGAACAAACTTTGCAAAAGTCTGACACAGTCATGAGTCCGACACTGTTTGAAAATGAATGCACATCCAATCCAGAGGGATCTTGCAATCTGTGGGTGGGTGGTGGGAGACACCTCTGCAGCCCCCAAGAGGGCAGTTTCTTACCCCAGATTTTGTTGCAAAGAGATATTTGTCCCTGAGCTGGAAGTCTTCCACCTCTTCCAGCAAAATCTCTTTATTTTCCCGCGTCTGGAAGAAATCTGTGCTGCGGAGGACCGTCGAGGACAAATTAGGTTCATGCCGCTCGATGTAAATCGTATTTGACTTGTCGTATGGCTCCACACCCCTTAATGGCAGAAGAAAGGGAGGGGGAAAATTGATGCATGGGGAAAAACGTGATTTTTTGTTTGTTTGTTTCATTTAGACCAGGGGTCTCCAAAATTTAAGACTCTACAGAACTTTTAAGACTTGTGGACTTTAAGACTTGTGGACTTCAACTCCCATAATTCTCCAGTTAGCCATGTTGACTGGAGAATTCTGGGAATTGGAAGTCCACATAGTAGAAGGAATTTGAAATGGTATGGGGGTATGAACTTGGAAGGCAGGGGGAAGAGCTGCAGTCAGGCCAAGTCCAATAAGAGACTGTGATCAGATAAGAGGAAGCTGAATAATAGGCAGAATAATATTCAGCAGCTGAATAATAGGCAGAGAAAACAAATATCAGAAAGGATCCTCCATAACTTGCCAGACTCTAAAAAGAGACAGTGGGAGATTTGTACATTCAGACATGCATGATTCTCTTTCGTAGACTTATAACAAACAGAGCAGGCTTCTTCTGGGTGTGCTCTTTAACTGGTCTACCTGGTTGACATCCATCTTGCAAAACATGGCTGTCTGGGGAATTCTGGGAGTTGAAATCCACAAGTTATCAAGTTTGGAGACTCCTGATTTAGACGGATCAAAATGTGATCTCCAATGAGCACAAGATTTTGTGTTCTCCAGAATTCTTCATCCAGGGATGAAGAAGAGCTGTGTCTCTTTCACTCTCGCTCTCTCTAAACACAACACAACACACATACACACACACACACACCACAGCAGACATTCCCAACTGGATACTGTTTGCGTGTGATCTAATTTGCAGAATGCATTCCCGTGCTGTCATAGGCACTGATAAGATTACATCCATGTTTCTCAACCTCAGCAACATTGTGATGTTTGTTATTTCAACTCCCAGATGTCAGCGTTCCAACAAACAAACTCCATCCCAATAAACTCCGAAACAAGCATCTCCTCAAAATTCCATTTTATTGGATAGTTGTCATATTGGCACATCTGGGAAAATCTGAATCTGAGAGTTCCGGGTTTTCCCTTCCCAAAAGAAATTCAAAGATCCATCCCCTGCACCCATCAGTCCATCACATGGACCAATCAAATGTCATCCCAACTGGAGACCTTCCTCCAGACACTCCTCTCCAGGTGCAGAGCAACATGTCCTTGACTCTCTGAGAAAGGATGTTGTTGAGTCTAATCTTCCACCTCTCTACAAAATCCCCACTCCCAAATTCCTAGGCTCTAAATGTGGCAGCCTCGAAGCTTCCAAGTAAAATATGGCTTCTAAGACTAACACCAGAATTCCTCAACCAATATGTGGGGAATGGAGAATGCTGGCTGGGGAATTCTGGGAGTTGAAGTCCAAATATTGTAAAGTTTGAAGGTTGAGAAACACTCAATAATGCCGCCTCTACCCCAGTATGCTGCCTCCAATAGTGGTCAGTCAAATGCACCTAGGACGAAGTTTTCCAATCTGGAGACCAGAGCCCCCTCCCTGCTAGTCCATTTGGATATCCCAAGTGGAGGGAGAGAAGAAGGGAAGGGACAGCAAAGAAACAAAATAACCCTTTTAAAAAATAAATTTGGCCAACATTTTGGGAGGTCGCCGAATCTTACAAGGTTTTTTTTTTTTTTACAATCTTACGATCGCATTCTTGTTTGGAATCACCCCAGACTGGACGGAAGTGAAATTGTGCAGGGGGATAAAGAGTCCTGGGAATAAATAACAGAACTTACCAAGCGAAGGACTTCACGTGTTCATGAATCATAATCCAGGTTTGCCCAAAATCATCCGATTTCCAGAGCTGAAAAAAATAATAATAATGAGAAGACGGCAAGCTAAATTTGAAGAGCTGAATAATTAAAGCCTTCAAGGTGCATTCTTTGCCATGAACCAGGGGGAGGGGAGGAAAGGAATGGGGAAAGGAAGAAGGGAAGGGAAAGGCAAGAAAGAGGGAAAGAAAAGGAAAAATGTAAGGGAAGGGAAGGGAAGGGAAGGGAAGGGAAGGGAAGGGAAGGAAAGGAAAGGAAAGGAAAGGAAAGGGAAGGAAAGGGAAGGGAAGGGAAGGGAAGGGAAGGGAAGGGAAGGGAAGGGAA